GTGTGTCTTTAGCGACCTCTCCAAATGGGGGGGCCCTGCTCAAGGGGATCTCTTCTAGGGGGATTCCCGTCCACCTCTGCCATGGGGATGTCTCCAAATGAGGACCTCCTTCCGTCTTCCCAAGGGGGCACCCCTCCAAAGGGGATCTCTTCCAGGGGGACCCACATCCACCTCTCCAAAAGGTGGATCTCCTGCCACCTCTCCAAGGGGACCCTTCCAAAGGGGAGCTCTTCTAGGGGGACCCCTGTCTGCTTCTCCCATGGGGACATCTCCAAACAGGGATCTTCTTCCATCTCCCCAAGGGGACCCCCTCCAAAAGGGATGTCTGCAAGGAGGACTGAATCCACCTCTCCCGTGGGGACATCTCCAAATGGGGATCTCCTTTCACCTCTCCAAAGGGGGGGACACACCCACGCCCACCTCTCCTGGGGGACACCTCCAAAGGGGATCTCTTCCAGAATGACCCATGCCCCCTTCTCTCAGGACCCCCCGATGGGGGACCTCCTTCCATCTCTCCAAGGGGAGACCATTGTCCACCTCTCCAAATGGGGGACCTCTCTTGCAAGGGGACCCCTGTCCACATCTCCCGTTTGGAGGTCTCAAAACTGGGGACCTCCTCTGCCTCCTCCTCCTCACAAGAGGATCTCTTCAATGAGGACACTCTTCTGTCCCTCCAGATGGGACCCTCTGGCCTCTCTCAAGGGGACATCTCCAAATGTGCGAGCTCCTTCCACCTCTTCATGGGGACCCCCTCCAAAGGGAATCTGTATTCCCCTCTCCAAGTAGACCCTCTCTGAATGGAGGACCCTCTCCCACCTCTTCAAATAGGGGACCCCCTCCAAAGAGATCCCTTCTGCCTCTCCAAAGGGGACACCTCTGAATGGGAAGATCTTTTCTGCCTTTCCAAGAAAGGACCTTCCAAATGAGGGACCCCACTCCTCCAAGGGCTCCTCTTCGCTCTGACCAACCCCCTTTACCTCGCCTCCAGGCTTCCTGATCTCCAAGTGCTGCTTCCCCATCTTCAAAGCCAAGACTGGCAAAGCCAAGAGGGTCCGGACCATCTTCACCAGTGACCAGCTGGCCCGGCTGGAGAAGGAGTTTGCGCGGCAGCAGTACATGGTGGGCACGGAGCGGTGCCTCCTCGCCTCCTCACTGCACCTCACCGAAGAGCAGGTAAGCCCCACCGTCCTCCATCTCCACCTGCCCCCACCAGCAGGTCCAGGGAGGCTCCCAAACCTGTGTGACAACGGGTGGGACCTGGGCCATGTCCCTCAGCCTGGGAGTAGTCATTGCAGATAGTACATTAAAAGGGTGGAGGATCACAGATGGGGAATCTGACTCGTCCTAGGGGCACGAGGAGGGGTTGGACATGTGTCCAGCTTAAGGCTGGATCTTCTCCACCACTGGCAGGTCCCAGCTCAGCACCTGGGTTGCAGGGGAGAGTTTTTCATCTTGCTGGGGACGAAGCGTGGCAGGGGACATCTGTCCTGACCAGCCAGGGAATATCTGAGGCTGTGGACACCTAAGGGTTTGTGGAGTGGAGAAACCAAGTTTGATAGCCGAGCTTTATCTCTTCCTAAGGTGAAAGTCTGGTTCCAAAACCGGAGGATCAAGTGGAGGAAACAAAGCCTGGAACAGCAACAAGCCAAACTGGCCAAAATGGGTTTGGCCACCCCACAGAGAAGCCCTGACTCACAGAGCCACCACAGCGAGGAGGACAAGGACTTCCCAGCAGGGTTGGAGGATGGCTCAGGGACAGCACCTGCACAGACTGTGGCAAAGAGCTGCTGAATCGCCCCTTGGGGCGGCTTTTCCATGTGTATTATATGACTGTATCATAGCTGGGAACGAGCGTATCTAATATATACGGGGTACTGATTATTTTTGCAGTGCGAAAATAAATTATTTATGCAACTCTTGGACTCCTCTTTGCAGAGAAGAAGAACAACAACACGGGCCTGCAGTGGCAGCAAGTGTTCAGTGGGGGCTTGTTCACGGCAGCAAGCCCTGGAAGACCAGGGGAGTGGGGGCCACCCGCACACCTCACCCACAAGCAGCCCCATCGCCAGGCTCATTCCAAAGGTGGTGGGTGCTCAGGTACCTCCTGGTGCTCGAAAATAGCTCAGGACCTTGACAGAGCCCGGGTTCTTGTAGAGGACCTTGGTCTCATGGTCCACCCATCTCCACCTTCCTTCCTGCCGGCGGCATCTCCACCATAACACCCTGCTCAGCCCACATCCCAACGCAGCGATGGCATCCTGCTCCCCGGGGCTTCCGGAGCCAGGAAAGTAGGGAAAATGTACCTGGAGAGCAGAGCTGGTGGTGGCTTTGCAAGGTGGGCACCTGGGATGCCATCTCAGCTGGGCAAGGATTAGCCAGGCTTTAATTGGAATTGTTTGCCCCTGCTTAGGCAGACGTAGAGGTTTCAAATCCAGCAGGTTTGGGCTGGACACTGACCTGGGGATGAGCCAAGGGTGGACTCCGCAGGGAGCTCCTTCGAGGAGGCAAAGCAAGCGAGTACCTACAGCCCTGGACCTCCCAGATAAGAGCAGCAACGGGGACATCTGGGTGCTCACCAGGGCAGCACCAGCTCCTGCTAACCCTGTTTTCTCCGTGTCTGCTCTGGGTTTGGGGCTGGAGGAAGAAGGAACCCAAGTGGAGGGTTTATTTGAGCAGGTGTGAAACCTGGTGCAAGGAGAGAGGGGGGACGATGAAGAAGGGCACGGTGCAAGGAGAAGGGGATGAGGCAAAGAGAAGGGGATGATGCAAGGGGAGAGGGACAGCGCAAGAAGGAGGGGCTGGTGCCAGGAGGAGAGGACGAGGTGACGGAAGCTGCCCTTTGTTCCCGCTGTTTTCAGAGCCGGGATTAGCCGGCGTGTCTCAAAGAGCCCAAACTGTGCCGATGTCTTCACGTGTCTGCCGAGAGCCCGGGCTGCGCTGGCGGGTTTAACCCGCTAATCTCGCCCGCCGGTGGGTTTATTGCAATAAACCTCATCCCCGAGGCAACAGGGCTTACGGGGGATGTTTTCATATCGCCCGGCCGGGGGCCGAGCTGATGGCGAGAGTGAAGCTGTTCTCAGGGCACCCTTAATCCCCCGGGAGCTGGCAGGATTGGGCCTTTTCCACAGTGCTGAGCTCCTCCGGGGCAGGCAGCGGGGGACCCGTCCCCGCTCCAGGGGATGCTCCTGCAGGGTCAGCTCGGACTCCTCTGTGGCCAGTGTCCGACCAGGCAAATGGCTTTAATTAAGACTGCTGGGCTTGATTGAGTTTTTCAAAAAATGGCTTTTACAGGAGGGGAATTAAATCACACCCATCCCTCCGGCACCTTGGGCTTTGACCAAGAGGCTTTTCTCATGGTGGGTGATAATCCTTGAGGGGGTGGCTGGTCCCTGGGGGCGCACAGGGCTCAGGATGCCCGTGTTCCCTTTCCTACCTGCCACAGGACAGCTGGGTGCTGAGGAAGGTCAACCCCTGTCTTCCTCTCACCCAGTGATTAACCTGTTTGCAGGGTGGGGAAGGGAGCGTATCTGCAGGACACCGGAGCTGATTACTGCTCCAGTGGGGATAAGAAGAGCCAAAGGCCCAGGTCTGACCCCGCTAACGGGATGGAGTTGATGGTTTGCAGAAAAGCAGGATTCAGCTGGGTCATCCTACGCCCTGCCAAGCCCCTGCCAGCCCTGGCAGCCTGTAAAGAGGGGGGTAGAAATGCAGTTTCCTTCTCCCGTCGGAGACATCTCGCTCCCCAGTCTGGGGAGGGGGTCTTGCAGCTCAGCCCAACTCCTGGCAGCTCGACCGGGGCACGTGGGTTGGGATCAAACCCAGGCGCAGCGATTTGGCACGGTGGAAAATAAGGAAGAGAGATGCTCCGAGAGCTTGGCAAGCTCTTGGGCTGGATCAGCCCACCTGAGACAGAGCCATGGCTCCTCTCACCTCCCACGATAGCCTGTGCAGAATAAGAGCTGTGCGTCCTTACCTGAACCCCACGTGCATCCCCAAAACCCCACTAGTCCCTTCCCAATCCTGCGTATCCCATTGCTCTCTTAAAGATGTTGGGTTTTCACCTGTCTGCGAAAGAATGAGCTGGCTTCCAGTGACAGATAATTATAAGGAAGTGAGAATTAAGCAGCCTTATTAAGAAGATAAAGGTTATCTGCTCCAGATGCAGTGCTGAGCCCTCCCTGAGTAGATAAGTAGGCGGCTTGTAGGGGGACAGGTAGGTTGTGAGACGAGTGGGTGGATGTACTAGCATGGACTGTTTGCCCAGAGGAGCAGCCTGTGTGGGGATAAGATGGATGATTGGGGATGAATGCGGAGCACTGGAGAATAGGTGCAAATAGGTGGCTGGGGAAATGGGATGGGAGATGGGTGGAGAGATAGGAGAAGGGAGAACGTGGTGGAGCCGTAGCGTAGTACAGCTCCTCCGTGTCCCCCTCCCCGCTCACCTTCCTGCCACTGTTTGCCCAGAGGAGCAGCCTGTGTGGGGATAAGATGGATGATTGGGGATGAATGCGGAGCACTGGAGAATAGGTGCAAATAGGTGGCTGGGGAAATGGGATGGGAGATGGGTGGAGAGATAGGAGAAGGGAGAACGTGGTGGAGCCGTAGCGTAGTACAGCTCCTCCGTGTCCCCCTCCCCGCTCACCTTCCTGCCAGGATTCCGAATCCCCGTGACCCAGCCGCTTTCCCAGGCGCCTTTTGCATCCCTTCCCCAATTCTCCTCAGCTGATTGCCCCCTCGTGCTCTCTTTTTTTTTTTTTTTTTTTTGGGGCCTCCCTCAGTACCTACAACTCAGTCTGAGATGTCCTAAATTCTTCCTCCAAATACATCTCGCAGACCAGTTATAACTCCTTCTTCCCAATAATGCAATGCCGAGGATGGGCTGGAGCGCCGGGGAGGGCAACCTGCCGTCGGCAGAGGTTCAAGGCAAAGCCCGACCCAAGCCAGGACGCGGGGCGCCGGGGTCGGCCGTGCATGTTTCCAGGCTCCATCTCATCATGTAATCTTGTTAAATGGTCAGGGAGCATTTCCCCCTGCTTCTCCCTCCCCTTTAATACCCGATTGAAACATCAAATAAGCTTCCCAAGGCTGCCGGGCAGCTCTGACGGCTCCACGCTGCCTGGTTTCAGTGGGAAGAAAAAAAAGACATCACGAGCAATGGGAAGGAACACCACGACATCTCATCTTCTGCAGTCTCTCTGCGTTGAATTCGCCCCAAGATAACTTGCTCAGCCAAAAAGCAAAGGCACCAATTCTTTGCATTAAACTCCCAGCTGGATGCATGAAAATAAGGGTGAAATGGGGTGACGTGCCTGGAAATGCAGCGGGGAAACTGGGCGACTAAGGAGACCCCTCACATGGGGTGAGCATTGCGGTGGCCAAAATCTCTGGGTTTAAAACTCCCGGGTTTAAAAGGTATTTATCCTGCCACAAGAAACACAGGGCTGAGGAGCAGCACCCTGCCTAAATCCTGCGTAGGGCTGCGCAGGGAGGTTCGGGGTCTGGTGAGGGAACACCACCAGCCCTGGGCTGGGTTTGCCCAGCTCTTAAATAGCTGCTGGTGCTCACCCCACCGGCTCTCCTGCTCCTTCTTCACCTCCCATCTCTGTCTCAAAAACGGAAAGACTGGGAGGAAATCCCTGCTCCCAGCCACGCACTCGGCAGGGCCTGCCAGAAACTGCTTCGCTTCGTTTGGGTGAAACGAGCTGTTAGGAAAAAGGGGGGGAAAAATGATAAAAATGGCACCCATCTCCCCCTTTGCAACTGGTTTGTGGCACAAAGTCCCTCGGCCCTGTGGCACCCTGGGCTGGGCTTTCTCTGGGGGTGTGCTGGGGGCCCTGGCACCAGACACCCTCTGCAACTGGGATTTTGTTTTAAGAAGTTGATTAAATCGTTAACTCAAGTAAGCCCTGACGGTGTGGGATGAATAAGGGGATCCTGGGGGTGAGCTGGAGTGCTCCCCAGCTCTGCTAAAACCTCCTCCTGGGACTTAGGCTGTGACACACACACCCCCCC